AATGCGAGGCGAATGTCAGATGAAAGAGAGAAGCCGATAACTAGTACGTTCTAGAAACGATAAAACAAGAACCTTCCATAGCGAACAATTCGATGCTTCTACGCTTTCGTCTGCGAGCAGCCGACTGCTATATAAGGGGACACTCAGCTGCCAAGTGAAGTTAGTTACAAAGTGAGCTCGTTGGCGTTAACATCAGTTAAGTCGTAAAGTGAACGCGTTGGGAATTACATTTAAGTAAAGTAAATTGTGAAAGTTGATGCAAGTGATTGTAGCTAGTAAGTGCCTTGTAATTGAATTGTGTATTACGGAGTAAATAAAGGACATTAGATAAAATCTTTATTACGAAAGAAGCTGCAAATTAAGTTGGCGAGTTTTATTTAAAAATCCAGAGATCGTACCCGAAGGATTTAGGATATAATCGAGGTTGATTTAGTAAAATCGTGACAATATTATTTGGGCTCTTAATATGATATATAAATATAAATAATTAGTAAATTGTGATTTATATTTTACGTCCTTGTTGTTATTATTTTTATATAAGCTCATGTATATAATAATAAGTTTCACATTTAGTAAATAATATATGCATTTCTAATTCTAGGAAATAACACCAATACAAAACAATCCAAGTGCTGTATAGCTCCAAATCGGTAATTCCTTAAAAAAAAATAAAATATTCCCTATATTTGTCGAAAAAATATTCTTTCGAAGTAAAATATTCTCATAACCAAAAGAAGAATATTACCAAACTTCTGTGTTGCTATTTAGGTAAGAATATTTTTCAAATCATTGCACATATATTTAATTTTTAATTAGTTCTTTGTAGACGGTTATGTAGCTGCATCAACTGAGAAACATCCGTAACCCCTTAAAGTGGGACGCCACATAGCAAGTGTTAATATTACACGGAATGCAAGCAACAGCTTCATTGGGTCTGTCAGTTCAATCCAACATAATAAAAGCCATGCAGCAACAACCCGCACAAAACATGGTAAGTTTTAAACAAATACATATCTACAGTAACACCTTGAAAGAAATGTGTATTAAAAATATATCTTTATTAGTTTATAGCTTCAGAAATAAACTCCAACATACAGTTTCTAATATCAAAATTATAATTTAAATTTTAGTTTAATTTAAGTAGATACCTATAAGCGCATCAACGAAAACATACAAGACACAAACATAGGTATTAAATTATTCATTAAGATCTTTATGTTGTGTGTATGTGGGTATAGTATTCTTGCCCATATGGCGGATGTGCGTAATATCATAAAAGTCAAATATAGCATACATCTATGAAATTGCATCACACGATGACAGGAATAGATTTAGCAATGTTATTTTTTGTGTACGTCATAAGTGGAAAAAAGTTTGCAAGAGCTATTTATTTATTTATGTATTATATGCAAACAAACTCCACCAAATGCTAATATATAAATTAATTAAATTTAAATTATGTAAAGTAAATTAAAAACATTTTTAAATTTTTTTACCATATAAAAAGAAGCAAAACGTTAATTACAATACATCTATTATTTTTATAGCTTTATCTTTTTAAAAACAATGCATTTCTTAAATCCTAATCTAATAGGAAGAGAGTTATAAGAACATATAAAATTAGTAAAACCTTTTAGTTTTCATAGACTTGATAATGAAATTACAGCACTTTAGAGTATATAATTTTTGAAGATTCAATAGTGCTCAGACTTTTGAAACGTAAGAAAATGGGAATGCGGAACCCCCTGTTAAATTTTTCTGGGTTTCGATGTTTCTTCTCGGGAATATTACTGATGTTTGTCGACCACTCAGGTAGCCCAGACCCACCTCTGCAAGCCCGGTGGTAATGAAAATTGCTCAATGTATGTATTTTCCACATGTCGGGTATCATTAGGGTGGTCAAAGACAAAGACAAATTGAGGACCCTCGTGAGAAATGCTGCCCCCGCTGGTCCCAAATGTTTTAGCATCAGAATGCTTATTCCGCCGGGCCGATAGATATGGATGCTTTCGCCTTTCCGATGATCCGCTGAACATCTTCTGGGAGAAATCAGGCACGGCGCTGGTGTTTGGCCGGCGCGATCACCGAATGAAACTTCCACCCGGTCATCGCGTCTCGTAGCCCAGGGCTTGGTTGCTCCAGAGGAGAGGTTGCAGGTCCGCTTCTGTCGGAAAATTTGGGCGGGCTTCCGCAATTCGGCCTGCCGGTATGAAGCGTGCGGCAGCAGTCACGACGACCCCGCGGAATAAACGTTCACCAGTAGTGACATCTTATGGAGTGGGGAGGGCACTAAAGGCGTTCTCGATAAATTCCGTGAAGCCGGACCAGTCAGCTTTTTTAAAGTTGACAAATGTCCGGCGATCCACGGAAATAAAGTCGGGAGGCCTGTCAATTGGGATTTACCCATATTTACCACATATTTGAATATTTATCACAAAATTAAATGTTCCTTGCCAACATTCCAATCTTGCAATGTTATAAACAACATTTTACATTTGATAAGGTAGTGGAGAGGATTTGCTTGTTGTTGTTGTAGCGGTTCGCTAACTCCGTTTAGGCACAGGTTTGATCAGTCTAAGTCGCCGAGGTCATCTATCTAGTGAGAGGTCCAGGAAACGTGCTGTTTCGTCGGGGTTGGATCAAAGGGAGAGGGGCGTTAAATGATTTGGTTTGAGAGGTCATGTGAAGAGGTGGTTAGTGTCGCGCAGGGCATACGTTTTGTATGCTGGGGTCTAATCTGGACAAGTAGGAGTTTAATCTGCTACAATATCCAGACCTGAGTTGTGTCAGGGTAACGCGGGTTTCTCGAGGCTGCTCGAGCTCGTTGTCTGCTATCTGTCCTTGAAGACGTTGACTGTCTCCTGGTGAATGGCGTTCGGTGCTTGTCTGTACGTCGTCCTGTCCTGCGGTAGCATCCCAATAGGAACTGCTTGCATAGCAAGACATTACGCACCTTTACTCGTAGCATAGATGCTTCGCTGCGCAACATCAGGAGGTTTCCTGTCGCGGTCCTGAGGCCGGTGCTCTGGCAAGCCTGTAGCTTCTTCATCTGCTTTTCGTTTATAAGTCTCTATCCCAGGTGCTTCCGGCTAGCGCTTTGAGTTTTCTTTCTTTTTTTTTGCGTCTTTGGAGTTTTGCGGCAATTGCGGTCGTATGTGGAGTGAAGGAATGCAGGCTGTCTAGTGTTACTCCCAATATCTTTGGGTTATTTACCGTCGGAATTTTTGTGTCATCGATTTTGACATCCAGTTCAATCCTGTACTCCTTCGTCCAGCTGGTGAAGAGATCAGCCGAGGATTAGGTCGGTCTAATAGGGTTTTAAAAGGATTTGACTGCTCAGCTCTTGGTTTTTCTACAGGAGAGATTGCGGGATCTTATGTGTGTCTACTATAATCCGAGTCTCGTGGTTGAGATCCCTGATTAGGAGATTACCGGGATCAGCGTTGCGAATAAAACCGCACTTTGATGTTAAAGCCACCGCTGGATTTTCGAAACTCGCCTTGCCGGTTTAAAGCCGGCGGCAGGGGTCACGACACTCCTTCGGATTATTCTAAGTCGTGAGACCTGCCAATCGAGATTTGTATGGGTAAAAGATCCGATGCTAATGTAAGTATATTTCTAAGGAACTTGTTATATTATCTGCGGTCGATGCCGCCATCGATAGCACGATACTGCACGTTGTTGTGTAAGATTGACGTAAAGCCTTTGCCATGGTCTCGCTCGTAGTCCTTGAGGATAATGTTGTATTCTGCTCGGCTCAGAAGATCCGATAGGTCGCTTGACTTCTTTTCCTGGGGCGCAGCGATTGGCAGGTGCGCCCGGTGTCGATTATCTCGTCGACGTTTCCTTAAAGTCCGTTGCAGTTAATTTGTACAAGTTGTGTCTCTCTGAGGAACGTTCGTAATAGGAAAGATGGGAAAGTGTAGTGTGTTGTTGCCTTAATACCCGCTGGATTCGTGGCGCACCTTGATGTTGGTTGGCGGCGTTGTTGTAGATTAAGGCAGGGGCAAACTCCTACAGCATGGGGCAACGTACCCGTCACTCCACTCACAGGTGGTGCGCAAGGCAGAGCACGCGCGAAAATGGAACCAGCAAGATTTGCATTTGGCTGATATTATGTTCTGATGCAAAGTGGTTAAAAGTCTGCATACATCTAACTGAAACGAAAAAATGGCAAAAAAAAGAGCAGCAGAGCTAATCTGTCGGATAAGGGTTGGTTTTGACTTAAGCCCTGATGAGAAAGATTTAGAGTAGACCAGCTGCGAGGTGTTGCTCTATTGCTGACCGTATACTGATGTTACGTGTTTGTTGTTGTTGTTGTAGCGGACTCGCTAACCCCGCTTAGGCACAGGCTTGAATTAGTCTAAGTCGTCGAGGTCATCTAAAGGTAGGCCCAGGAAACGAGCTTTTTCGACGGGGTTGGACCAAAGGGAGAGGGGTGTTAGATGAGTAGGTTTGAGGGGGCATGTGAAGAGTTAGTGTCGTGCGGGGACTCTCCACATGCCGGGCATACGTTAGGTATGCTGGGGTCTAGTCTGGATAGGTAGGAGTTTAACCTACTACAATATCCAGACCTAAGTTGTGTCAGGGTCACGCGGGTCTCTCGAGGCAGCTCGAGCTCGTTGTCTGCTATGGGTGGTGGTATTTCTCCGAGTACGCCATTCACTGGAAGGGAGTTCATGAAGGTACTCTGGGATGCTACCGCAGGGAACTGCTTGCACAGCAAAGCATTATGCTCCTTAACTCGTAGCATAGATGCTTCCTTGTGCAAGTGATGCTCCGGAGACATAAGAAGGTTTCCTGTCCTGGTACTGAGGGCGGTGTTCTGGCAAGCCTGTAACTTTTTCATCTGCGTCTCGTTCGTCCCCGGCGTCCAGATCGGAGCAGCATAGTTTACGACCGGCCGGCCAATTGCTTTGTAAGTAGCCAGCAAAGTTTCTTTGTCTTTACCTCAGGTGCTGCCGGCTAGCGCTTTGAGTATTTTGTTGCGGCTCTGGAGTTTTGCGGCAATTGCGGTCGTATGCGGAGTGAAGGAGTGCAGGCTGTCTAGAGTTACTCCCAATATTTTTGGGTTATTTATCGTCGGAATTTTTTCGTCATCGACCTTTACATCNGTGTAAAAAGACGGCTAAAATAGCTCGCGCATCTCTTCGGGTCCGACGAGGCGCGATCACCGAATGAAATTTCCACCCGGTCATCGCGTCTCGTCGGGTTAGACAGCGACTTGACTGTGGCCCAGAGCTTGGTTGCCCCAGAGGAGAGGTTGCAGGTCCTTAGGTGCTCCTCCCACTTTTTCCGCTTATGACTGTTTACGACTCGTCGAATCTCATGTTACGTGTTTACCTAAACGTTGTTAGATCGCCGAAAAAGTGACAGTCCTTCGCAGGGTCAACTCTGGCGCGTAGAATCTTCTGTCATGAGAATTGAGGAGACAGTTCGGTTCCTACGGAAGGCTAGATAAGACCTTTTATACGATATTGAAAAGACGACTTGGTATGCCTTAAACATCAGTTTGTACAGAGATACAGGTTTTCATTAGAACTTGTCTCCTGTCGTTCTTCTTTGTGTTTACGCACGTTTTTTTTCAATTGATCGACAGGGACAGGATAGTGATCTCGGTGTATTACAGGATTGCAGCATATTTTTTCTTTTGTTTTTATAAATAAATAGCTAATGCGGGCGAAGAAAATTTTACTAAACAAATAACAACATAATAGATGAGTTTGTGTGCCGAACGAAAAATTGCTTAATTTTTTCGAAATATGGAAAGATGAAAAAATATAATATCCATATATTAATTGTACAAGTTTTTCCACAGCTCTCTATAAATCTAGTGAAAAAGTACTATTGAGGAAATAAATTTTAGCAAAAATTACAATTTCCTTAGAAAGCACTTTTAGCTAAGTTTTTCTCTGAGTTTTTGTTCATATAAGCTATCTATTATATTTTGTTTTCTTTACCAAGGAGAATGTGTTATGGGAACTTTAATAACTTTTGAAATTTTGCTTCGCATTTATAGATTATGTCGTCAAATGAAAAAAAAAGCCTCCACAAAAAGCGCCGCCACCAAAACAACCGCAACAATAGCCCCTTTCATTTCACAACAACAAACTACGCAAAAATCGCACATGTAAAAAGTTTTGCAAATGGTTTTAATAGACCACTGCATTGGGTAATACATGGAAGTAGTAACATTGCGTTAAATAACTGCCAAGCAAATGCGAAAACGAATGTAAATGTTACAACATTATTTACTGCGAACCATCGTGTCATTAGCAACTATAAAAATAATATGGTTGACGTCACTAGCACCAAATTGTCTCATGCGAAAGGATTTGTTGCCGGCGATTTCGATGTTGGTATTGGAAACATTAAAGGTGTTATCTGGTGGCGCTGGAACAAATACGACTGCTAACAATAATATAAATGACGGTGGAGATATCGGTAGGATTAGTGGTGGTGGTGCTGGTGGATGCAATACTTTAGGTAAAATTCTTGGTGGTACTGGTGGATCAAGAGAGACTACTCACACGCATGAGAAAAATCTTGTGGGTGTGAAAAAGACATACGATTATAAATTATTGCCTAATAATTAATATCAGTCCACACAAAAGGTATTTTCCAATAACGTCATTATATCAATGAATACACTAAATAAGTAAAATTGCAGTAATGTTGAAAGCATGGAGCTAAAATTTGGAAATACATAATTTAGTTTAAAATTCCAGCAATGCTTTACATACACACAACAGATACAATTTTTTGCAAAGGAACTAGGTATAACCCTTAAAATATATTAAAATGTATTATTAGAAGGTTTAGATTACTTATTTCCTAACGATATATTTCTAGTTATATATCCGTCATTCCGTTTGTGTCGTAATCATGCAAGTATTTGCTGACACGCATTTCACATTATGTATTAGTTTGTTCAATTACTAAATTCATGTCTTATTTTTCAAAGAGTGTCTATTTATATTAAAAACACGTTAATCAGCTTAGTCTTTGATTTTAGAAACTAAGACCTGTAGTTTAATTACAACAAGCGGGAACGTATCGGCAATAGTACGCAAGAAAATAACATGATACGTTAATCAACTGAACGGAATCGGATTCTAGAGCACTGGTTATAAAAGCGATACAGAACGGTATCGTGGTAGTGAAAATCGTATGCCGATTTCGTCATATGCATTCTGTTCCGAAATTGACAGTGTTAAAAGTTGTCAATATTTGTATTTGTTTACTAATTGAAAGCAAAATTGTGTAGAGCTAAATTAAAAAAATTCGATGTTTTTTTTTTTTTTTTTTTTTTTTTTTTTTTAACACAAATGCCAAACAACTGTCAAATTGACGGAAAAGCGGAAGAATCTAAAATCTACTAACCTTTACACTCCGTATCATCCCGCCGCGTTGATTATAACAATTAGATATTTAATTGACAATCCACAACGTTGCTTTACCTTCCGTTATTTTCGTTATTACCAGCGTATAACACTCGAAAGTACAAAACTCTCACGACAGACTGTTGTATGGATTGGAATTGATCCGGATTTTGTCGTCTCACCACATTTTCGGCGAACTGACCCGTTAGGATAATTAGTCAAACGCCGTGTCCAGCGTAGACACGATAAATGCGGTGCGGACGGTGCAGTGCGGTTCTAAATTTTAACATGTTTGCAAATGTAGATGTCCCATGTTAGCACGATTTTATAATAATGTGTGTATTTAGACGTCGCTGCAAAGCATATAATCGTCTGAAGTTTAAAAGATAGTGTTTTGAGGAATAGAAGCCATTTGTTGTACTATGTTAACATATATCATATATATTTTCTAATATGTAGTCAAATATTAATATCTGTATTATTGTATACTCGTTAAAATTGCTTTCACTTACTCACAATTTCTCAATATTCTTACTTTAAATAAACTGTCTAATAAAAAAATTACTTGCCGAAAGCGAGGCTACACAATTTTATTGTAGCCACTCGCAATAACGCATAATCGCTTTGCAATTCGACGTTTCTCGTATATTACTCACAATTTTTCCGGCAGCTCCATGTAGCAGGCCATAGCACGTCGGGTACTGACATCAGTCATGTGCAACTCCTGCTGGCTGGTGCCACTTTCAAACATACTCTGCCCTACGCTCCATCCGTAAGTGGAGGGATGTGTACGTTGCCCCTTCCAGTGGTAGTCTGTCCATATCTATATCTGCAACACTTCCGCCAGCCAACAACAACGTGCGGAACCCAATCCAGGGTTTTACAAAAGCAACACAACAGACCCACACACCACTTCAAAGACCCACGTACTACGACTGCTACAATTCAACTGTAACGGACACCAGGGAAAGACCGATGATAAAGTCGATTTTTTGAGCCGAGAGAACCTGTTAACAACTGCGATCCAGGAGACAAAATTGACCGGGTATAACATCATCCTCAAGAATGGCGCGCGTGACCATGGTGTAGGAGTGGATGTTTAGCGTTCATTTTACACAACGCGGTGTAATATCGTCTTAGATAGCGTGCGTATGCGCGTTACTCTGACGTTACTTAATTTTCGGACGTTCGTAATTTAAAAATCTGGGCCGGATTCACAGAGGTCACTGAGATCGTCCTCAATGCTCTCTCCACTTCCTTCCGCAGCAGACCGGATTGAGGGATATATAAACATGTCGAAACGCGATTTAGTTCGGTGGCCACGCCTTGTCGAATCGTCGACTTACGTTCGCAGGTGAACTGCTATCTCAACGACTATTCCCTCATCTTAACTGCAAGACAATTTCGACTACAACATGCGAAATACTCGGCTCGAAGGAGTGCGAGCTCGCACTCGATGGCTTAGCAATTCCAACAACCAACAACTCAAAGATAGTGGGAGTAACTAACTGAGCTCCTTCACTCCGGATACGACTGCAACTGCCACAAAACTCCAAAGCCGTAACAAAATCCTCAAAGGGTTAGCCGGCAGCGCCTTGAGGAAAAAACCAGAAACGTTAATGGCAACTTTCGAAGCAAAAGGGAGTACTCGATCTCAAGGACTGCACTCTGCACCATAGACAACCACCGCTAGACAGGAGGGCTTACCTGACCTCTCTTCTAGTAAATAGCATTCTCGGAGTCAAACGACCACCTGTTGCAGACGGAGAGTACGAGTGCCTCGAGAGGCAAGCGCCGTAACTCCTACCTATCCAGACTTGACGGAGGCATATCCAACGTCTGACCTTCATGCAGTACGCTGCACTAACCACTTCTTTGCATGCCCAGTACAACCATCTTATATAATCCTTTTTTCCCGTCGATGATCTAGTTTACAGACTGATCCAGCATAGTTGTAAGTGGGGTTAGCGAACTCTCCTTGCGGCGGTTCGGGTTAGCGGTTCAAGAATTTACTATATGCTATAGATTTTAACATCCACTCATTGGTTTGCAAGTCAATGTCATTCTAGATGCGGAAATGTCAAATTTAATTCTAATATTGGGTGTGTGCATTAGTAGTTAAAAGTAATTAATATTAGTTTTTTTTTTAACAAAAAGAGTATGTGTTCATGTACAATATTAATATAAAAATTTGAGTTCAACTAATGACGAAAATTATGAAAAAATTAGGAAGGAAGGAATTAGGAAACGTCAGACTCCATACAGTGATCCATTATCATTACCGAATATAGCTGAAGCATTTGAATATTAATTTCGCCAACTTTATTTACAACGTTGAATATTTCTGAAGCGGGTACGTTCGACCAAATAGGCCTTGCAGTATTTCATGTTAGAAATTAGTTTAAAGCATTCAGTCTTAAGTGTTACAATTGGCACTATAACTTTTGGTAAAGGGTGGTTATCAACACTCAGTAGGTAGTGACTACCTTTTAACAATAAGAAAACGTGCTCTAGGCGTATTGAATTTTTTTTGTACAAGACGTCTTTGATTGTTTTTGATACACACAGAATACCTCGAATAGTCATTCATGAACTCTGTCAATAAAGCCTTTTAAACCGCATAAACTTATTGTAATTAGTTTTAAAATAATATTTCATGTAGTAAAAATAAATCCATTATTTTTGTATAAAATTTAGTGGTTTAATCTTTTATTTTCGTATTCAGCCTTATTCAAATGGCTCCAAAAAATGTTTAGCTCTTGAGCAATCAAAACAGTGCTCACTTGATGGTCAGACTCGAAGATTTCCATTGTTTTATAGACATTTTCGATAATTGGCCTTCCACTGAGTGAAGCATCTTTTAAATCAAAATTACCTGAATGGTACTGCATCGAAAACTTTCAAAGCTGGACTATTCGCATCTGTCCGGGCCATATGGCCTAGCCAAATAATCAGGTATACGTCTCTTAAATATTTGGGATAACAGATAATGCAAAAAATTATGCAGAATTTTATATTCTTCGTGTGACAAATATTAAAAATGGTAAAAAGTAATAGAATAAATTTTAATATTTAGTTATATAATTTGCTGCAATAAGAGTTCGGGGGCATGCTTCCAATATATGTTTTTGCATTTTCTTGGAGTTTAGAATTGTGATGCCATTCGCTGATGAACCGTTGCTTGGTGGTAATCACTTCTCTTGCAATCGTCCTTTTGGTGAAAATGCGGTAACGCTTCCAGCTTTGTGGTACGGCGCTGAGTCACGCATTAAATTATTTTTTCATCATTAGGGAACTATTCCTTTATCTACGCCAGTAACCGTGTGTCTAGTACTCGTTTGTATTGCCTCATTGTACCTTCTATGATGTATAGGCGCCACATTCCTTTGGCTGCGGTGACTGACCACATTATGACACTAACCGGGTGTTAAATCCTCTATCAAAGGCAATCAGCGTGGAAAGGTTCACCAGGATGTCGTCTTACAAAAGAACTTGTATCGACCGTGGTTCTGTTATATATGTATATATAATTGGCGCTTTGTAGCCGCTTAAGCTATTTTTCCGCAGGATTCTTAGAGTCCAAAATTACGTGAGATTTTTTTGGTTCACGGAGTCCGAAATCGGAAAAAGAATTCTTTACGTGGCGAGTTATGCGTTCACAAATATTGTTGTTAGACTCCTGATTCAAATCGTTGCGTCTAAAGTTTAATCTATGACATAGTGTACAATAATGGAAGCCTTGAATGCAATAATGATTGAAACACAGAATTTTTGGCATCTAACTACGAGTCTCGTTATTAATTTTCGAACAACCCGTTATATTAAGCTTATTACTAATAGAAAATAAGAATTTAACATTTCTATAATTTACAGGATGAAGGCAATGTACTAATCTCTTGTTATATTCTTAGTATTAAATATATAAATGCCGCCTTGTAACCGCTGAAGCTGTTTTTCGGCCGAGCACCTCCTCCAATTTGTGGTTTTGCGCCTTGATTTTTTTCCAACAGCTTATACTAAGCCGCCTTCGAGCTTTTCTTTCATGTCAAAAATACACTAGAAGTGGTTGACACTCCCTGCCGAGAAGCGACCGCAAATAGAAAATTAAAATTATTATTTTGTTATTGAAACTAATTCTCTAATTTTCAGAATTGTTAATGATATTAATTAGTAACCTTTGGTTGTTATTAGTATGTTTTGTGTATAAAAATATTTATATATAAATTTTCAGAAAAGTAGCAATTTCGTTTATGTATAAGAGATGATTTGAAAATTTTTATATATTTTTTTATACAGTTTGTTCAACCGACTGTTGGCAATACTTCCAGCCAAGTTCGTACCAATCAGGCAGGCAGTTTATATCGGGGACCTTCAGCTAGTCCAGCGCCCCGGAGTGGGGCTCGTCATCTTCCAATGCAAGCTCTGTATCCTCAGACAATGCATGTAGTTCAGCCATTCCCACAATATCCACGCCAGGCATTCCCAGCGCCACCATACGCACAATACACACCTCCGATGCAGCCAAATTACCCATATCCATATCCCTCTTACTATCCTGTTCCAGCACAGCGCGGCGCTGTAGGTGTTAGTACCAGCGTTGGCGTGGGTAACACGATGACAGTGCAACCAGGTCCTAACGGTCCGATGTCCGGTCCACCTGGTGCTACGCAATCACAAATGCCATTAGCGCCTGGGACGGTGCTTTCTACAAGTGCTGTACCACCTGGTACGAATCCTGCCGTTTTGAGCGTAGGTCCCAGCCCAACTGGTCAACAGGTTTCCGTTCAGCCTATCGTTGTTCAAACACAGCCAAGTCAAAAGTCAACTCGCCGCCGTACATATGCTCTCGATATCATTGATCCAAAAACAAATAAAAATATATTAGAAGATTTTGATTCAACAAAGGTACATTTTAATATTTTCCTAAAATATGATCTAAATCTGTAATTTTTGTGCAGACATCTACAAGCTCAGATATTGAATATCCAGAGCAAAATCTATATGCTCAGCAACCTATTGTTATGTCAGACCAATTGCGAAATTTGTCGTATGATATGATAGGTGTGTATGCATTGAAATCTTTGTATAATATTTTTTTTTAACATTTCTCAAAAATTTAGATACACAACATATGCCTCGTGATGTAACTATTGTGCAGACTCCAATTGTGTCAGCGATAACAGATGGGCCTTCCGTAGAAATTTTACCTTCAATGCAGAAATCTCGAGGGAAAAAGTAAGTACAATGTGCTCGAAACATGCATGTTTTAAATTATTTTAGTGGAGATAGGTTTTTATATCACATTTGTTAAATATGTTCATTGTGAAGAAACCTGACGAGCTGTCGACGAGAAGATAGCCGTTTTATTATGAAACTATTAACATAATGATTTTACACCCTACATTTTCTTTCCACATGCCATATCAAGGAAAGTCTTATAGAGAATACTCTTGCCTTCATTCGCTGTTTTTTTTTTCAGTTTTTCGTTAATGTGTTGACGGTTAGAGTTTTTCGCAGGTCTTTCTACATTTGTATGCATTTTTAAATCATAGCAAATTGGTAAGCCCAAACAATTTTTCCTAATTTAAGAAGTTAATTAAGTTGTGTTTTAATTGGTTTCAAAATTGTGTTATTTTATTAATTTTATTTTGCTGTAGGTTTTTTAGGTACTCTTTTATCGTCTCCACTGAAATTACAATTCAACTTCCTAGTAAATGTAAGCATAGTATAGTGAAGAAATTATAGTTATAGAACAAATTTTCATCTGCGGAGATGCTTTTCAGAATCTTCTAATCATTTTTTGTGGTTTGTAAATGAAGCATCTTCAGTTATGAAAATATCTTTTTCGTTTGTATTTCCTTATTCTTCTGCCTCTGCAAAAAAGGTGTATATTTTTTTCAGTAAATGAACCTAGCTATGTAATTTGTAGCTGAATTAAAATTGTTTCTGGAATCGTAACTTAGAATACCATATACGACTTCAAAAGAAGTAATATGGGGAATAAAAGGAACTGAACTAATTTAAGTTTTGTGCTAATCGGTAAACAATCACATGTTTACCAAAAATTTCGTAATGTCGAATATATTTTTAATATGCAATCGTTTATGTATGTGATCCTCAAAATTTAGACGGGTATTAATTTTGAATCCAAATTTTTTTTTGAACATATTACTGAGATGATTTTTCTGCGATTTTTATGAATAATTTACACGGGCATTAATTTTGATTCCAAAATTTTTTTGAACAGTTTACTGAGATGAATTTTCTGCGATTTGAAAATACATCCCACACTGAAGTTGAGGAAATCTGTCCCATAAGTAGCTTCTCATAAGCTCAGTTGCTGGTGTGTTGAAATCGAAATAACTTTTCAGTTTTAACAGTAGAATATCATGGTTTACAGTGTCAAAAGCTTTAGGGAAATCTAAAAGTACTAGGACAGTAAGTAATTTGTCATCAAAAGCAGTACGCATGTCATCCATGATTTTCATCTCAGCTAAAAAACTACTATGATTTTTATACCCAGATCGAGCGATTTTAAATTTTTCAAATACTTTTGACAATGTTAGTAAGTTACTGATGGGCCTGAAGTCTTGAGGAGCGTAACACGAGTTACCTTTAACGACCGGAATGACGTTGGTAATCTCCACTGATTTGGAAACGAAGAGGAGGCTATAGCATGATTAAAAATATGTGTAAGCATGGGAAGCATATAGGGCAGTATAAGTTTTAGAAAACGCAAACTCATAATATCCACTCCAATTGTATTAGTTTTTATATTAAAAACACTCTTTATAATATCCTCTTCATGGGTGTGGTCAGTAACTAAGCTTTCATTGAATGTGAATTTCATTTCAATAAGTTCATCACACTAGCATCAAGCCTGCCAGTTTTTGCCACTTTGGCACAAATACCAAGTGATTATAGATTTGTACACAATACTTTGGGCAAAGATACGCTTTTTTACTTTTTCGTAATTCACTTGTTACTTTATTCCTCAAGTTCTTGTATGTGGTCCAATGTTCGATAGTAGGATTACGCTTCCAATACCTATAAGACCTACATCTGCCTTAGTTCTACGAAGGGGAACATATTTTTCAAACTGGTAATTAATTTGAATGATAAAATACTCACTCCCTCGTCAATACTTTTCATAACTGATTTAAAATTGCTGCGCTCAGCAGAAACTTCTCCTGTTTTCTGCATCGTACGCCCTTCACTCTCGGACGTTTTTGTTGTGATGCTTGCTATGGAAGCTTCTAATTTCGGTTCAAGCCTCCAAAATAAACTTAGTGTAGCTGGGCTGTTTACCGCTTTGCTGTCTCTCTTACCTTGCAATTTCTGAGCAGGAGTTTGTGGAGGGGAAAGGGCACGATGTGCACCTTTTCTTTGAGCTGACATATTAATATGTATACGTATTAGCTTAGTTTGAGACTGACCACCAACACAATACCGAGGAAGTTGATGCAAATTGAGTAATCCTCATTACCGCCGGAGTTGCAGAGGTGGTTCATGGGCTACCTGAGGGGTAATATTCCGAGAAGAAACATCGAGACCCGGAGCCGCAGCAAAATAATCAAATCACTAGCCGGCAGCGCCTGGGGTAGGCAACTATGCTGCACCGATCTGGGTGCCAAAGACGAGCGACAGCAAATGAAGAGGCTACAGGCTTGCCAGAGCACCGCCCTCAGGACCGCGGCAGGAAACCTGATGTCGGCGGGAGCACAGCGAAGCATCTATGCTACGGGTCAAGGAGCATAATGCTTTGTTGTGCAAGCAGTTCCTATTGGGATGCCGCCGCAGGGAACACCCCAGTAGACACCAAATAGACGCTGAACCTCCACCTAGGCACATCAGAAAGGGAGCACTAAATTTAAATGTCACAATCCAGCAATATGTGCAACAACCGCTGACAGGACGGCGTACAGACAAGTACTGAACGCCTTTCACCAGGAGTCAGTCAACACCTTCAAGGACTCTCTTCCAGTGAATGGCGTACTCGGAGAAAAACCACCTCACATTGCAGACAACGAGCTCGAGCTGCATCGATAGGCCAGCGTGGCCTTGACACAACATACTCTGCAGGGGAAAACACTATTTAGCTAGCAATCAACTGGTTTACATTTATACACCAACTAGTTAGTATTCATCCATCATGACACTAAAACTCTCGAATTTCCCGACCCCGAACAAACAACGCGTTTCCTGGACCTGCAGGATGGCCTAGGTGAGTCGATTAATTAAACTGTTTTTAAGCGGGGTTAACGTAGCCGCTACAATAACAATAACAACATCGTAGATCGCTAACACCGAACCTTCTTCGTGTTTATTGACGGGTATTCTTTGATACGCAGAGACGGGTGTGTTGCTTTGCTGTCACAAGTTAGCCACAGAACGTATGCACGTCTAGACCTTTGGAAACATATCGGCCGTCTATCATAATCGATGTAATCTGGAGTTTTTCGATCTGGAGAGCGCTATGTACCTTGGATTTTTCATGTGGAAATCTGTTACTATATGCAACCATATTTCAGGCCTCGATGAAGTCGATCAGCCTTTCGCCGTAAAGACTGAATTTCCTAACCGGTGTGCGAAAAAAAACCTCTTTTTTTGTAGACCTTGGTAAAATTTCGCTTTGATGCGGGTAGCGGATGGGTATTTATCGACCGGAGTAAATACGAGTACTCGACCCGCTACAATTTCAACAACAAATGTGTGAAACTTTATTTGGCCTCTGCAGTATATCTCACTACAACCTACTCGTTTCCGTCTTGGTCCTGTCCATCGCATTTCTTGGACGTGGGTGATGTCAGCCTTTCTTTTTTCGAAGACGTTAACCATGTTGGCTGGCTCAGTTTCTCAGCTAAGGACAGGACTTTGCAGATGCTTGCCCTCAAATCATTGTCCTTAATACGTTGGCAGTAGAGGTCATCATAAGAAGGTCTTTCATCTGAGACACTTTCTAGTTATTCATTAGACTATTTTTTCATGTGGAAGGTCCAAAATCCTGCGCACTGCCTCAGGATGTTGTGAGATGCTTGAACCATCCGTAAATTAACGTTTCTGTACACTCTCATGTCAAAAAAAAGCTATCCTCAATTGCGTGATTTCTTACACATGGAGTGTTGATTGAATTATATTTTGAATGTGGTGGGTTCCAGATTCTTCGCACAATGGGGGGTTCGCCTTCGCACTGAACCAATTGACAACGCGTCATTTGGTGTCAAAGGCTTTTCAATTACATCTAACATGTAAGTGGAAAGAATAAGCAAGGAAAAAAATGGCTTACAACTCTGTGGTACATCTCGTAAAATGTTCTCATTGTTAATAAAAATTCTGAACATCTATAATTTTCAAAAAAAATTATGGCTGCCATTTCATAAAACCGTACGTCCTTAAATATAAATATGCTAATTACTCTATACTATGTGATCCGCTTTATAATTTTGACAACGTTTGGCCTAATTAAAACCAGGCAAACGTGATCTTCGCTTGCTGCATTCTGCCAAGTTCTTTTATTGATTTAATTGTGCATTTTCTAGCCATTACTTCACAAATAAAACGTTCAAAATAATCCAATGACATTAAGCAATACAAAAAATTCATTATTGAAGTTTTATGGTAAGTTTTAAGTGTTGTGCTAATTTTATTATTTTATAATCAGCTACAAAAAGAATATTATGTTGAAAACTCTCTCACGAATGTTAGACGAAATGAAGCCGATAACTACCGACTGCGCGCGTATATCGAATGTTCTTGTTCCTCTTTTCCAATAGTCTAGGGCTCTCTAAAGTGTTTCTCATATTCTCTCTTTTTTCCCTGTACAAAATCGTTACGTTATCAAAGTAAGCGCAATGACCACTGCTTATTATATGTTGTGAAAGCGTTGTGCTTTTTTTTTTCTTATGTCGATTTCATGTTCTGCTAAGCGCACTCCAAAAGCCCGCTTGTTAGTACCTATGTATAATTTCTCGCTGTTTCCGTTGTTGTTTCTTTGCATTTAATCTCTTACACAACATTGCTTCGTTCATGTGCGTTAATTGGTGTTTTTGTTTTTTAAAATATGTGTGTTAGCGATTCTTTTGACTTGAAAGCTAATGTAATATTTTGTACTTCCTTGGTTTCATATCCTAATTTTTCACTGAGCTTTCTTCTGTATTTAACGCTGCAATATTTCTTAGGACTGTTTGTTGTATCTAGTTTTGATGTTTTAATATTATTGTTGCGTTGTCTTAATGTTGTCTGTTGTATTAATTTCCGTATCAGCTTCTCAGGGTAGCTGTTGTTTTTGAGCACAATATGTTTTTTTTTCTTTGTTGACATGAAATTTTTGATGGCTTATGGTCAGTATTTTGGTTATTATATTTTTCGTTGTGTTGATTTTGTATGTCATTGGTTGGGAAGAAAGAAAATTTATTCAAGAGCAATTATTTTGTCGTCTCATGTATTTTTTAAATTTGTTTCGTTAACTTAAATTGAAACATTAATCGATTCGACCATACATGAAAATGGATGATTTAATTTTTTGTTACTGTGGTGGAATCGTATTTTGTGCATTTCTTGTTTTGTTCTGTCTTGTAATTTTCTATTATCCCATGTTGTATGTCGTAAGTTTTGCGAGCGATTAGTAAGTAACGCAAAAATATATTTAGAAACATGTATACGTTTTTTTGTAAAAGAAATGGCGAAATAAATTTTTATATAAAATTTTATTTTCAGAATACTTCCTATTGTCAATCCTAAAGATGGGAGCACCGTACATAACATGGGTACGTAAATAATTTATTTTCAATGAAATGTTTTTAATTATATCTTAAATATATCTAAGTAAAAGTGGATAGGAAGGGAGAGGTTGGTTTTGCTAAAGGTTACGTCAAGATTCTGCAGTTTTAATGCAGTTGTTCAAATGGTAACAGCGTGCCTGGTATAAAAATAAAAGCCATACTGACTGTGAAGCTAAATAATTTTTTGTATTTTGCTTACTTTATTTTTGTTTTTTTGCTTACTTTATTATTTTTATTTATTTCTTAAAGCTTGTATAACAAAATCTTATTATATAAACTATTGTACGGAGAGTTAGCAACATCGGCTTTCGGATAACTTTTTTATTTAAATACGGCGAAGAAGATCAATAGATAATACTGTACTCTTTTATGTTTGATTAGTCGGTACATATCGGCTTTTGCAACGTATGGAAATGGGATGGTCATCATTTCCTTAGCGATTGTGTCCGCAACCATGTTTGCACTGAAGCCTGTGTGACTAGTATTGCACATTAATTTGAATTTGTTAGTGTAGGATATGAATACGTTTCCGGGGTAGTTACTTCAAGGAAACGGGTTTTGTACACGCAACGAAAAGTATTGGCGTTTTTTGCAGTTTCGCTAGCTCGGTAACAAGCGAGTGTTCTTTCTCTCTATAGTGGGTGTTTGATTCGGCAATGTAAATGGCTCGATAAGGCTGATAAAAAAATCCCATTTCAAGATGATATTGGGATTGCTGATAAGTTTTGTAGAAAATTTTGGTAGGAAGTCTTCCGCGGTGTCCTTTGAAGAATATAGTTGGGAGGTGGCTGAGCATCAGCACACCTAGGCCCAAACGATTGTGATACCACTGTGTTTGCAAAGCCGAGCTGACGCTGCATCTGTGCCCCGCTATCGCTCAGGTATCTAAAGGTTGCCACCCCAGAAACTTCAACCTAGTCCTCCAAAGTGCGGGCATTCGCACAGAAAGTTCCTTAAGGTTTCAAGTTCTGTTTCTCCTCTGCTACTTCTGAAGAAATCGTTTGATGGTATTCCTAGTCTTTCTGAGTGCCTGCCGAATAGAATATATCTTTTCAATTCGATGAGGACACGTGATCCTTTCATTACAGGCCACAATGCCTTGACCACATTACATGTAATTATACTTTTCTATTTTAGCAATCTTAGCGAATAACTTTCTGATATTGAGCCCCTTCCTTGCAAGCTCGTCCGCTATCTTAGTGGTGGCATCAGGAAAGTCAGTATTTATAAGACGGATAAGGGCCTCCTCCGCAGATACCGTCCACGTACCGTCGAGCCTCTGTAAGCATCCCGGCACCGAGAGGGGTACATGAGAGTACTCTCCTTAGCCTGCTCCCTTCTTACGCTGGTGATTATATTTTACCCCTAGGACGCCTAGTTGGACAGGCTATATTCAGAGCTCTGGAACTGGCGCTAGTGATCTGGCCTAACAGCTCCTCCAGTTCTAATATGTTTGCTAGAGTTGATGACTTCAGGAAGAAGTGACTCTAAATTTTGCCCATATAATAGCCAGTTAGTATTTCTTAAGTTCCCCATGGGTTTGACTTCAGAGAATACCGCATCTAGATAAATTTGTATGTAACGTTCATCGGCGTCTCGGCTTCTGCCGAAATCAGAGTAATATCCAGAACCTCCGTTCTATTGTTTGTGACAAAGGTAGGATCGTTACCTTTATTACTTATTTGGAGCCCTGAATGAAATAAAAAAATGACTCCTTTCATTGAAGTTCATGCTTCCCCAACCTACTTGGTGGCCGTTTGCGTCTCCTGCGAGAACCAATGGTTCGGTGTTGTCTTGCACTAGCTTAACCACGGACTCGGTTGGTATTGAGGAAAAAACAGGATTTTGAGATTGAGCTAGCAAGAATGCAGGCCCGCATATTTTGTGGCTTTCCACCCTGGGCTTCGGGCCAATCGACCAGAAGGTTTTCGCCGGGTTGAGGTCGTTGTTGTATACCTTGACCGTAACCGTGTCGAATCCAAATTTAACATTGCCCCCCCCCCCCCCCGGGTTTGAGGGGGCATGTGAAGAGGTGGTTAGTGTCGTGCGGGAACTCTCCACATGCCGGGCATACGTTGGGTATGCTGGGGTCTAGTCTGGATAGGTAGGATTTTAATCTGCTACAATACCCAGACCTGAGTTGTGTCAGGGTCACGCGGGTCTCGAGGCAGCTCGAGCTCGTTGTCTGCTATGGGTGGTGGTATTTCTCCGAGTACGCCATTCACTGGAAGGGAGTCCATGAAGGTGTTAACTGACTCCTGGTGAATGGCGTTCAGTGCTTTTCGGTGTCCTTTAGGCCTAGTATTCCCTTTCTGATGTGCCTCGGTGGAGGTTCAGCGTCTATTTGGTGTCTACTGGGTGCTCCTTGCGGTGGTGNAAGGACAGATTGAGGACCCTCGCGAGAAATTCTGCTCCCGCTGGTCCAAGATGTTTCAGCAACAGCATGCTTATTCCGTCGGGGCCGATGGATTTGGAGGCTTTCGCCTTCCCGATGACCCCCTGAACCTCCTCCCTGGAGAAATCAAGCACCGCGCTGGTGTTTGGCAGTTTGCGCATACGGCGGGTCACACGTCGTTTCGCTATGTCTACCGAGGGATGCAATGTAAAAAGTCTGCTAAAATAGCTCGCGCATCTCTTCGGGTCCGACGAGGCGCGACCACCGAATAAAGTTTCCACCCGGTCATCGTGTCTCGTCGGATTAGACGGCTACTTGACTGTAGCCCAGAGCTTGGTTGCCCCAGAGGAGAGGTTGCAGGTCCTTAGGTGCTCCACCCACTTTTTCCGCGTATGACTGTTGACGACTCTTCGAATCTCCGCGTTTAAATCCCTGATTAGGGGATTCCCGGGATCGGAGCTTCGGAGGGTGTCGCGCCTGGTTGCTAGTACCGCCGTTTCTGCCGGAAAATTTGGGCGGATTTCCGGGCCTGCCTGCCGGGATGAAGCGGGCGGCAGCGGTCAAGACGACCCTGCGGAATGAACGTTCACCAGCGGTGACGTCAGTTGGAGTGGGAAGAGCACTAAAGGCGTTCTCGGTAAATTCCGTGAATCCGGGCCAGTTAGCTTTTTTAAAGTTAACGAATGTCCGGTGGTCCGCGGAAACAAAGTCGGGAGGCCTGTCAATCGAGATATGTATGGGCGGTTGGACGCTGGCAGCATGGGCCACCTAACTCGTGGTCCATTCCCTGTGGGTCTTAAGGCCTGAGCAGGTCTTAAAGTGACTCCAACCATTGCATCTAACCGAGGTGGAGGAATGGTGGAGTCTTTTGTGACACACGCAGCAGAAGTAATTCGTCGGTCCAGGGTTGGTTTCTACACCAGCCCTGATCAGAAGGATTTGGAGCAACCCAGCTGCGAGGTGTTGCTCCGTTGGCGAACTTAGACTAAGGTTACCTGTAGACCTAAACGAGGTTAGGTCGCCGAAAGGGTGACAGCCCTTGGCCGGATAAAATCCGGGTCAACTCCGGTGCGTAGAACCGGCTGTCGTAAGAGTTGTTAGGCTCATTCGCCGGGACCTCTGTCAACCTATACCCTTTCGTGGACTTTTGTGAACCATCCACTGGGTGCAGATTGAAGTTGGGTAGGATTAACTTTGCCTACTCTATCTCTTCTAGTGTATCCCTGATTTCCCCTGGTACCCAGAATACCCCGTAAGTGATCCATTTTTCGGGTAAGGCCATGTGTACATCCTGGGGCGCCCTGGTTCCAGAAGGCACCGTTTGAGGCTGAGCTATATAGGGGCCCGTAGCCAGGCTGGTACTCGGCACGGAAACGCAGAACATCTTAATCCAGCCCCACCTCATGACCACGATAAAGAACTATTTCTGTAAGGCATAGCTATTGAAGAGGGTACGCACATAGCACTATTTCTTGATCTTTCCTAGATGCCCTCCGACAACGCACGAGATTGCTATGTAGTATCCATTACCAGCGGCCAACAAAGAATTTAGTACAGATTCCGGTCAAACATTTCTTAGTGGAGATGTCGATAGGGTGCAGCAAGCATCTATTGATATTATTCTTAGAGTGGCGGCTTAAAACGGTATTTGGAGTCTAATATTAACCCTAGAAACTTAAAACTATCATATCTGCACAAGATGTAGATTAAAAAGTTTGTAGTATAGGCGTTACCGCAGATGTCATGTATACAACACAATGAAGTTTTGGTGGAGAGGAAAGAAGAACAGAAGTTGAGGTGTATGTGGTAGAAAGTGAAATGAGTGGAAAAGTGTATAGAATTTGGAAGGTGTCATTATTGTTTTGGTCCTTAAGTTCGTATGAGGTCGCCAAAGCCGCCAAACAAAACAAATGGATCAGAGCTTAAGAAAAGAAGATTCAGGAAATCTTGAGAACGATTGGTCGGGTGGGGAATAAGCGCATATAAACGCGATTTTGTACGGCAGTTGAATTTCGATGACGGAAGCTTCTGTTAACTAGGTTAGCGATCCCCTACTTATTGGATGTGTTGTGAGGACAATTGAAGAAATGAGCTGTACAGGCTTGTTGGGTATGAGGGAAAATATTGTATGGAATGTGAGTTTCATGTAACAAAATAAGAGAAGTATTAAATTTTTTTTTTAGAATTTCAAGATAAATGTAATTGCTATAGTAACCATTTGTATACATATCATTGTGTTGGATATATCATTTCGTGCTTGCAAGGGAAGATTTGAAATTCGCTAAAGTTGCGATGTTACACACGTACTCTCTTTCTCGTTCTTTGCGCCAAAAAATTTTGAAAGTTTCAGGCAGGCGGAAGTGGTGGAAAGTGAGTAAAACTACTTAATGATACCTGGGAAAGCAAGCTCTATGGATATTTTTTCGTCTGCTAACTATGGGGCGTTAACCTTACTGTTTACAGGATCTAAATTTTTATGAAACTTACACTTAACTTCACATATGCTTGGTGTTTCTTTAATTGTGGCAAATTTGACTTCAGTTTTTGTTTTTTATCTTCTACCTAAAGATTCAACTACGTATCTTAGCTCATATTTAATTTCAATATTCCTGTTTATTATCAGAAGGGGGGGGGGGGGGGGGGGGATCTACGCACAGCGACGCACTAGTAATATGGTTGCTGATAAGATCAGAAATTAGAAGTTGGGTAATGGTGATATAGAATTCGGCAGAATTGGGGAATCTGTATTTGGGAGCGTTTCTCTTTTAATAATGGGAAC